CCTCAGCCTCCCAAAGTGCTGGGATTACAGGTGTGAGCCACGGTGCCTGGCTGTGGTATGTTTTACATAGGTCTTTTGTCCTCTTTTATTTTGCTAGAGCTGTGGAAATGGGTGGTAGCCTGAATGGAAGGATCTTCATCTGCCCCTCCTGCCAGGTAGGAGAGCTGAGGCTTCACGCTCTCTCTGGCTCTCCTTGTGGCATTTGTGAGCAGCTTGATGTATTTGACACAAGTGTGACAGCAAAGAAATGTGTGAGCAGAGCAGTGTGCTGCAGGGCCCAGCTGTGTGGATTTATCTGTACATCAGGCCGAGGAGCAGCAGTTAGCCAGATCTGACAGTCAAACGTGAGCTCCTTCTACCTGCACTCCAGAGTGCATTTTAATGTTGTGTGTGTTTACCGTGGTTGGCATTTGACACAAAGAAAATTGTCAGTGCTGTTTTTTTCTCTCCTCTTTTCCAAATAAATACTTCATTGTACATAGACAAAAGTATGCACTTTCTAAAACAATGCCAAAAATCCTGTTGTCTTCATCTTTATATTGCATTTCATATGAGGAATTTGTAGATTAGATGTTTGAGTTGGTAATAGGTAAGATGCTGAATAGGTAAGATGCTTACATAGTGCAAAAGTCAAAACAATATAAAATAGAATATCGTGAGTAGTCTTGGCTCTGCCTCTGTCCCTTTCTAGGCATTTCCCACCTCTGTTGGCTGATAATCACTTCAACAGTCGGTCATTTATTCTTTATGTTTCTATATGCAAATACAAGCAGATGTTCTGTGCCTTGCTTTTTACTTCCCAGTATCTTCTGGAGAGCTTTTTAGTTCATAAACAGAGACCGGGTGTGGTGGCTCATTCCTGTAATCACAGCACTTTGGGAGGCCAAGGTGGGCAGATCACCTGAGGTTGGGAGTTCAAGACCAGCCTGGCCAACAAAGTGAAACCCTGTCTTTACTAAAAAATACAAAAGTTAGCTGGGTGTGGTGATGCGTGCCTGTAATCCCAGCTACTCAGGAGGCTGAGGCAGGAGAATTACTTGAACCTGGGAGGCGGAGGTTGCAGTGAGCTGAGATCGTGCCATTTTACTTCAGCCTGGTGACGGAGTGAGACTCCGTCTCCAAAAAAACAAAAACAAAAAACTGAAAAAACACCACAGAGCATTCTTGTTTTTGTTTACTGTTGCATTATACTTCATCATGTGGATGTCCTGTAGTTTATTCAACTGCCCTCTGTGTCTGGAGATTTGCACTGTTTCTAATCTTTTTGCTCTATTGAGATAATAATTCACGCATCATAAAATTCACCCTTTTGAAATGTCCATTTCAGTGTGCATGCCAAACTTTTATCCTACAAATAATATGATGTAATGAGTAGCCTTGTGCATATATTCTTCTGAACATGGTAAAAGTATATTAGAAGGCTAAATCAGAAGTAGGATCGCTGGCTCACGTGGTTAAATGTATTTGAATTTTGAAAGGCATTAACTGTTACCCTCCCTAAGTATGGTTCTGTTTTGCCCTCCTGACAGGAGGTTTCTCTTAATCTTACTCCCATTTCATAAAGGAATCTTAATCTTAATCTTTGATTTTAATAAAGCAGTCAAAAATTTTTAATTTTGATGTTTATGGGCTACCCATTTAATTTAATGTTATGTGATTGATTTCATTGATGCAAACATGACCCAAACTTCTCTTTATGTTTGTAAATATTGTTATTTAATAAATGACCTTGTCAGTTACTTGGTAAAATTGCAAGTAGTGAGTGTTGACGTTCAGAGCAGTTTTTTATCTGTGCAGTCTTAAGATGGGTGATTTCCTGGCCCCCATTCTTTGCTGTTGTATAGATACAACAATGCTCACAGTATTAAAATGAAAATTCCTAGTGGAAGATCAATTATATGCTGCTTGCTCTAGAGTAGGAAAAATCTTGTCAAATTTTATCCTTTTGATAGAGCTTTCTAAGTTACAATGTTTTATACCTATCTGATGCTCAGTTCTGAAATGAATTGAGAAGTGGTGGTTGTTCTAAGCATTTAGCTGAAGCATTATTTACAAGTAGAAGATCAGCCTACATTGGCACTTCTTGACCTATGGGACAGGTCTGTTGCTGTTTTATCTGATTTAGGTAGAGTATGTAATTCCTTTTGGGAGTCCATACTTTTGTGTTCCTCTTTAAATGTAGATTAGCTTTACTGATGGACTGTCATGAAGAGATCTTAAGGTGGTGTTTGCAAGGTGGAGCTATTTCAAGGTTTGAGAAATGTGCATTTGAATTATTCAAGGCTCACCTTTTTTGGCATTTATAAATATTCTGGCACTTTGTGTATAAAAAAGACTAAGAACTGGTAACATATTCATAGGAAAATGGAGGCTTTTCTGAGCTTGAAGTAAAAATTGAGGTATAGATTGTGATTAAATTTATGATGAAGTGCAGAAATGTACAAGTATATGCATGGAAATATCATTGGTTCTTTCCGTGGCACAAATAATGGTTAATACTGAAAAACAGATAAATCAGTTAACCAGTAGTGAATTATCCACACTGGTTTGTTGATTATTTGAAATGGTGTGTGTTAACGTTAGTATTATAATTATAAAAGTATTCGGAATTTAGCCCAGACATGGTAGCTCATTCCTATAATCCCAGCACTTTGGGAGACCAAGGCGGGTAGTCCGTTTGAGCCCAGGAGTTTGAGACCAGCCTGGCTCTCATACTGAGACTCATCTCTACAAAAAAAGTAAAACAAAATTAGCCAGGCATGGTGGCATTGCCCCTTTTGTCCCAGCTACTTGGGAGGCTGAGTTGGGAGAATCACCTAAGCCCGGGAACTCAAGGCTGCAGTGACCAGTGATTGGGCCACTACACTTTAGCCTGTGGGACAGAGTGAGACCCTGCCTTAAAAAAAAAGTATTCATAGTTTAACTGGTAAGTCAACCTTTTCATTATAAATGAGAAAACACCTATAGTCTAAACAAAGGCTTTGATTAAATAAATATAATAGAATTATGCCTAAGAGTAGAATTTGGTTTTGTGTCTCTTAGGTCAATTGGGGATTATACTTCTATTCCCTTTCTCTCTTTTTTTTTTTTTTTTTTTTTTGAGACGAAGTTTCGCTCCTGTTATCCAGGCTGGAGTGCAATGGCGCCATCTCGGCTCACCACAACCTCGGCCTCCTGTGTTCAAGCAGTTCTCCCGCCTCAGCCTCCTGAGTAGCTGGGATTACAGGCATGCGCCACCATGCCTAGCTAATTTTTTTTTATTTTTAGCAGAGACGGGGTTTCACCATGTTGACCAGGATGCTCTCGATCTCTTGACCTCGGGATCCACCCGCCTCGCTCGGCCTCCCAAAGTGCTGGGATTACAGGCTTGAGCCACCGCGCCCAGCGTCTATTCCCTTTCTCTTTCCTCACTGTAGATAATGATACAAAAACGTCCGGAAAGAAATTGTGTTCTACCCAAAAGGAAGTTTCCTCTGACTACTCTGTGATGGGTTTATGAGAGAAGGCTGCTCTCCTGGGGTGGGAGAGGATAGTACCCAGGGCCGCCATGTTTGGTTGAGTAGGTTGTGCACCATATGAAGACAGTGGCCATGGGAACAGGTGGAGCCTGAAATCCAGTTTGTGTTTACCAAGTTGTATTCTTACTAAGTGGGACTATATTGGCCCAGAGCAAGGTGTACCATTATCTAGTTCTTATAAAGGTAACTTACTGGCTGACAGTAGCTTTGATGATGCATTTATGCATTTTTATTTAAAACCCAGTTGTTTCTGCTGTTTTTGCTTTCTTTCTTACAGATAATGTCTATAGTATGTACATGTCTGTATATAGGTGTCTGTGAGTGTATATGTACATTTTTGCCATTTATGAGCCATGTACACATACAAACTCCATATATTCTTGAATGTAAGGTCAGATATTGTTTGAAAAATATCCCTCAGAAGGAGAAAGTTACCTTATATGTATCTGATTCCTTATAAGATAGTTTATCCTATGAGGTCCCCTCTCAGTTACTTTGTTTGAATAGCACAGTACTGTTGGGGAAAAGATAGGCTCTTGAAATAGCCTCAGACAATGCTGGCTTTGAGTGCTTTAAAAGGCTGCTTCATGAAATTGGAAAAGAAACGAAACAAAGATGTTTAACACGGATTCAGTAATTATTGTAGGGATGATAGATCACTCTAAAAAGCAATTCTGTAAGTGGATATGATCTCAAATAAATATTTACAAGACAAATAAATATTCCAAATATCCTGACATTATGCAAATGGACACTTGTGACTTGGTTTGGTATTTCCAGTGATAGTACCATAAAAGGATTTACAAGCTACTATGTCTCAAGCAGATTATACAGACAGGCGTTTGCTCTGAAAAACTGTATTGGATGACTCCTAAGGTGACTGTAGTGATGAAAAAGACCCAGATGGCAACAATATATGTGAAGAGTGAATCAAATTGTCTCATGAAATGAGAGAGTGAATAAAATTATTTCAAAATGTATGCTTCATATCATGTATAATTTAGTATGTATGTACTTGGCTAGGTGCTATGACTCATGCCTGTAATCCCAGCACCTGGCCAGGTGGGGAGGATTGCTTGAGGCCAGTACTTTGAGACCAGCCTGGGCAACATAACGAGACCTTGTCCCTACTAAAAATAAAGAAAAATTATTCAAGCATGATGGCACCTCTTAGTCCCAGGTACTTGGGAGGATAAGGCAGGAGGATCACTTGAGACCAGAGTTTGATGTTATAGTGAGTTATGATCATATCACTGCATTCCAGCCTGGGTGACACAGTGAACTGTCCCTAAAAGAAAAGAAAAGTTTGTAATGTAATTAATACATTTTATAATTGACATTTGACTAATTTCTGTCTCTAAAAGACTATAAATTCAAGTTGGCTAAAATTTTTTTGTATTCTCTTATTGGAAAAATAAGAGAGCATCCTAATTTGGGTCATTGTATATTCACTTATATGTAATTATTATTATTTTCAAACAGAAACTGAGGCTTCTTGAAGAGCTTGAAGACACTTGGCTTCCTTATCTAACTCCCAAAGATGATGAATTCTATCAGCAGGTAAGGTATTTTAATATTTTTATCAATTTCAGTGATGTGTTCTGATTGATCTTATTTTACCTGTGAGGAAGCAGGGCTAGAGAGGTTAGATAACAGGTGAAAAGGTCGAATTTGATCCGCCTGTGACTCCTCATGGCCTACAGAACATGTACATTTCTTCACAATCAGCTTTTTGCTGTGTACTTAAGACTTTAGCATAGTGACTGTTTTTACTTCCTCAGACATTCCACACTTCCTTGCCTCTGCTCGTACTGTTACTTCTGTATAGCTCCTTGTCCGTCTTTTTACTCCTTACCCTATTACTTGCCATGCTGCAGATGGCTAATTCTTCAAGAGTTCAATTAAACATCACCTCCTATGTGAACATTTTCCCAGCTTACCTTACCTACAAGTCGATTGCACTGTACACCACCTAGCACATGGCATGGGAATTATAGGATTCCATGTCTCTCTCTCTGAATTAGTCACCACTGTTTCAATTACACATGACAAAAACCCAAATCAAACTCACTGTGGCAAAAAATAAGGGGAATCTATTAACTTGCCTTAGAAGTCCAAGAGTATGTGGCTAACTTGAACTTTATAAAAGATGTCACCCAATCACTGGTTTTCTCTGTTTTTCTTGGCTTAGTTTTCCTCATTGTGACCTCATGCTCAATAGGCTCTCGTCTGAGAGTATAGTAGGACTCTTGACAGCATCTGGTCTTTGGCATCTGGGATCTTAGAAAAAGGTAGTGAGTTCTTTTTCCCTGGTTCCATCAAATTCTCCAGAAAGTAATCCTGTTGGCCTGGTTGGAGTCATGTGCCTATCTCTGAACTAGTCATCGTGTTCAGAGGAGTCAATTGCTCCTGTTTGCCTAGCCTAGTTCATGTATCTACTCTTGGAGTGGGGTGGGAGTCGGAGCACTCCCACTAAACAGCATGCACTGTGTGACGTAGACATGGGTGATTTTCCCAAAGGGAAATTGGAGTCCTGTTTCCAAAGAAGGAAGGGTAAGTCTTCTGGGCATGTAAAATTAATAAATTTTCACCTCTTCTTTCCTACTAGAATGTAAAGTCTTGGGGTATAGGAATTAGGTCAGAGCATCTTTGTATCTCTATCACCTGCATGTACATAGCTGACCATCAGTAACCAACGAAGGAAGAGAGGAAGGGAGGGCTTTACCCATTTAGAATCCAGATCAATATGATTTCTGCGACCTCTAGTTCAATATTATTTCTAGGACACTGTCTCTTATCTCCCTTATCTCTTTTATATTCTCATTTCATTTACACCATCTTTCCTTTTCACGATCAGTCCTTTTATAGGTCTCTCTCATTTTTCTCTTTGCTCTTCTTCCTTGAAGCTGTAGTATTTTCTAACCAAGATGTAAATCTGAGCATGGCAACCCTCTGCTTCGAATCCCACATCATCGCCTGGCTCCTGCATTTTCAGCCGCATCTTCCTGCTCCTATACCTTTTTATCCACACTGGATTTTTGCAGTACTTCAAATTTGCTATGAGTTTCATCTTTGGGGCCTTCTTGCTACGTCCTCTGCTGACATACCTCCTTCTCTTTATCTGTCTCCTCTTTCTTTTAAAAAATTTTTTTGACACAAGATCTCAATTCTGTTGTCTAGACTGGAATGCAGTGTGGTGCCATCTGGACTCACTGCAACCTCTGCTTCCTGGACACAGGTGATTCTCCCACCCCAGCCTCCCCACTAGCTGAGACTATGACCAGGCCTGGCTAATTTTTTTTTATATTTTAGTAGAGACAGGGTGTCACCATGCTGCCCAGGCTGGTCTTGAACTCCTGAGCTCAAGCCATTCGTGTACCTTGGGCTCCCAAAGTCCTGGGATTACAGCCATGAGCCACCATGTCTGTCTCTTCTTTCCTTGGTGAACTTCTGTGTTACCTGTTAGTAACAGCTCATATGTCATCTCCTGTAAGAAGCTTCCCTGACATCTCTACAACCTGAGAGTTATCTCTGCCTCTGCTCTTATACTTTATCTATACCGTTGTCAGCACTTAATCTCACTTAATTTTTTTTTTTTTTTTTGAGACAGAGTCTCACTGTGTCATGTCCAGGCTGGAGTGCAGTGGCAAGATCTGAGCTCATTGCAACTTCTGCCTCCTGGGTTCGAGTGAGTGCGTCTGGCTAATTTTTGTATTTTTAGTAGAGACATGGTTTCACCACATTGGCCAGGTTGGTCTTGAACTCCTGACCTCAAGGGATTTGGTCTCCCAAAGTGCTGGGAATACAGGCGTGAGCCACCATGTCTGGCATTAATCTCGTGTAATTGTAATGATTTTTTTTTGTATGCTGGCTTCCCTTATCCTCTGTACTTTGTTCAGTTCCTGGTACCTATCAGGGGCTGAATGTGTTTGCTTGAATGTATACGTGCATGCAACAGTTAATTTGGAAAACCAGTTATATATAATGATGATGAGTTTAGTATGATTTGAATTTTGCTTCTACACACATACACACCTACCCAGGGAGTTGGCATCTGGAAAGATTTGACAGATGTGTACAGAAATGTCATACCACATAGTGACAGGGTGAGTGTTCTCTTTTGAGCTTTCCCAGTCTTCCAAATTATCTGCAGTGAATGTATATTCTTTTGCAATCAGGGAAAAAATAATTTTTAGAAGTACCCTTAAGACAGGTAAACGTACAAAATGCAATTAGTTTTGAAATGCTTACTTCTAGCTATAAGCCTCTGGTACGTGATTACGTACATAGTCACAAAGCAACTGCTGAGCCATTTCAGCTTTTGTGGTATGAAAATGGTACAGGAAGAATAAAATACAAAAGGTTATCAGCCTGCTGTGCTCTGAACCAGCCATCCACTGAGGGATAAAAGGAAACCCAAATGCAAACAGAACAACTATCAAGACTTTTCTGTTATCTTTCCAAGGCCCATAACAAACCCTGATACCAATATCTAATCACTCTAAGAGCACCTTCTTTTTTTTCTTTGAGATGGAGTCTCACTCTGTCGCCCAGGGTGGAGTGCAGTGGCACGATCTCAGCTCACTGCAACCTCTGCCTCCTGGGTTCAAGCACTTCTCCTGCCTCAGCCTCCTGAGTAGCTGGAGCTACAGGTGCATGCCACCATGCCCGGCTAATTTTTTGTATTTTTAGTAGAGATGGGCTTTCACTGTGTTAGCCAGGATAGTCTCAATCTCCTGACCTCAGGTGATCCACTCTCCTTGGCCTCCCAAAATACTGGGATTACAGGTGCGAGCCACCATGCCTGGCCACCTTTTTTTTTTCTTTTTGAGACAGAGTCTCACTCTGTTGCCCAGGCTGGAGTGCAGTGGTGCAGTCTTGGCTCATTGCAACCTCTGTCTCCTGGGTTCAAGCGATTCTCTTGCCTTAGCCTCTCAAGTGGCTTGGGTTACAGGTACCCTCCACCATGCCTGGCTAATTTTCGTAATTTTAGTAAAGACAGGATTTCACCCAAGGCCAACATATCTGGAGTAGAGGGAGAGAGCTGGTGAGAGCAGGGCAGATGCAGTCACAGAGAGAGATGGGGGCCGGGTTGTATAGGAACTTGCAGTCTGTCGTGAGAATATTGGCAGTTACTCTGTGATGAGGAGGCATGAGAGGGCTTGGAGCACAAGTGTGACAGGATGTGACTTACATTTTAATAAGGATTCTTTCTGCAAGGCTCTTCCCACTCAGCCTCTTCTCTAATGGGGTCCGCTAGTTCCATTCTTGAAATCAGAAAGCTCAGCACCCTCAACTTCTACCCACTGCTTTCTTCCCTCATTTAGTCACTGGGCCCCTGTGGTTTTACCTCTTCAGCATCTCTCAAATTTTTTCTTTTCCCATCCCACAGACACTACCTGAATTATGCAGGCCATGTTGGTCACCTTCTGCCTCCGCAGTTTCAGTATCCTCCTGGTCGGCGTTCCTCATGCCCTCCCCAGTGCCATCAGAACTGACCTGTACCTCCTTGTTTTGTAACTGTTGCAGAGTCTCCTTCTCTTCCAAGGTCAAGTTCAAATTCTTCAGTATATCCACCCTTTAAGGCCATTGACTTTCTTTCTTTTTTTTGAGACAGAGTCTCACTCTGTTGCCCAGGCTGAAATTCAGTGCTGTGATCTTGGCTCACTACTGTCTCTGCCTCTTGGGTTCAAGCAAGAGGCAGAGACTGTAGTGAGCCAAAATCACAGCACTGTCTCAGCCTCCCAAGTAGCTGGGACTACAGGCATATGCCTCTATACCTGGCTAATTTGTGTATTTTTAGTAGAGACAGGGTTTTGCCATGTTGGTCAGGCTGGTCTCAAACTCCTGACTTTAAATGATCGCCCATCTCAGCCTCCCAAAGTGCTGGGATTAAAGGTGTGAGCCACCGGGCCTGGCTGCCATTGACTTTCTGACCCCAATCTACCTCTATGGTGTAATCTCATCCCATGCCTAAAATGGCGCCCAACCGTAAACCCCTTTAATAGGGAGTTCTTGGTTCCACCCTGACTCTGCTGTGCCCTCTTATCCTTCCTGGCCTTTGTGCCCACTAGTACTCTCTTTCCTTTTCTGTCTGGTGAGCAGCTACTTTTGAGGACCCTACTTAAACACTACATATTCTGTGAAGGCATCAGAAAATCCCTTTTGTTCTAAATTGTAGGAGAAACTTGACTGCTTTTCACCACCTCTGCTGCTTACACCGTGGCCAAAACTGCCATCCTCTCTGCTACCGCGGCCTTCTGACTGGTTCTGCCTCCCTCCCCCAGTCTAGTTCATTTTAACACAACATCTGGAGTGATCTTTTGAAAGCATAAATCAGCTCATTACACTTTCTTGCTCAAAGCCCTTGAATAGCTTCCCGTCAGCCCCGGACCTTACATGCACCCACGAAACTCTACACGCTTGGGTTCCTAACTGCTTCCCTCACCTCACTTCCTGCCCCTGCCCACTCCCCACCCTCCTCACACTTTTCTTCCCATTCTGGCACTTTACTCTTCCTGGAATAAATCAAGCTCATTCCTGCCCCAAGGCCTTTGCTC